CAGGGTGCCCAGACGACAGCACACCCGTACGCAATGCCATTCCTGCGGCGGCTGGACCAAGGATCACTATCATTTGTGAAGCGCTGAACTCGTTGCTAATATAGTGTTGGTCCCACCACTTTTTAGCTATTGCCATCACCTACAGTATTGTTGCGTCTGTTCAAAACGACTGCTGCGTCAGTAATTTTGACGCAGCACGATTGACGCAATTTCTGACGCAATACAAACATCAAATGAAACGAATCCACGTGTTCCTTACGTGTTTCGAAACCAAACAGCCTCAACTACGAAAGTCGCAGTGCACACAGCACACTCGTGACAAGCGCCGACGACAACGATCTCGAAGCGCTTGTGTGTATTGGCCACTTGTTCAACTTCCAGCTTGTTCCAAGTGTCCACAACTTTCGAGGCCAGTCCTCTGGCTTTTCCCTTGACACTGTGTCCGTCCAAGCCTCGTGTGTTGATGATATGGTGGACTGCATCTGTCGAATTGCCATAGTCCACGTAAAACGTGAAGTCGTTTTCCACCCAGCGACGGAACCACAATATCCGCGCACGCCGGATTGGTCTCCAGTCACGGCGCCGTCAACGAGTGATATTGGTCGCTATGTTCCGCTCTACCCTCCGAATAAGAAAACGCAGGACATCAACAGTCTCACAACACAAATGCTCCAGCGATGGATGGTCAAGGACGTTCTGTTCTTCATTCATTGCTATTCAAACAACAAGGCATCAAAGGCGGAATGGCTTCTGGTTGTGAAAACTGTACTCGAACCCAGCGAATTGGACCGTTCAGGTGCTTCATCAATGGCAAGTATGCTTGCGCTCAAAACTAGGCTTCGAGAATTGCATGGTTCAACGTACAGGTCACAGGACATTAATTGGCAACTCTGGGCAAATTACATTCAAAGTTCTCACGCGCACCGTCACGACATTCTGATCCATGAGCCACCACCTTCAAATTGATTCATCTGTTGCTCACTGTCCAACCCACCCGGAAATTGTTTTGCGCAATGCTCGCCGCGGTCTTGACGTTGCCAGTGGCTTAAATCGGAATTTTGTCGCCGCCATTGAAGAACTCCAAACAGCTTTTCGGTCACTGCAGCGCAAGTATGACGAGTTCAAAGTGGAATTGCAATTTCTTGGGTCACAAATGGAGGCAGCTCAGCGAATGGTGGAGACAAATTCAACATTGTTGGGAGGATTTAATTCAGCGCTTGGTACTGAAGAGTCTCCGTACGGAGTCTCATTGTTAGATAGCGCATAACAGCAAGATGATGATGATCATAGACCTTGTTATTAATTTGGTTGTGGTTAATCACTACTCACATTTGCATACCCCATTGCATCTATGTCTTGTTCCATTGCTATTCCAGGGTTGAGTTTACCATCATTAACGTAGCCACACTTTCGAAATGCGGAATGAAAATCGATGTTTGAAAACCTTGATATGACCTCTGCAATCACGATCTCAGTTCTCTTGTTGGAGTTTTCGACGTAGACACGCTTGAATCTCTTTTTCATAATTCCAAAGAAATTCTCTATAGGATTGAAGAATGGACATAAGCTGGCAGGAACAAAGACACAATCCCTACGACGAGTCATGAACTGAACTTGCTGCAATGGAAATGTCATACACAATGATCGCAAGTAGTAAACAATTTTGTCGCTGCAATGGACTTTGGCGCCATCCATAATCCACATCGAGTTTGGTCCAGGATACTGTGAACACTTTGCACTTGTAGCAAACGAACACACACAATTGACGGAGGGCACATTTGATCGGTCAAATGTGCCCTCCGTCGAAAACGTCTCCAACAAGCCATTTACGTCAATGAAACACAGCAATGATACGTTCGGTTTGCGGCAGAACTCTCCACGATGAATCAGCTTCTTTTCCCGTAGGCAATACCCACCAAGACGCAGCATGTCACGATTGTCGAAGCATACCTCGTCCAAGAAGACGATGTTGTGAAGAAGCCAAGGAACAAGAGCAAGGTCATTGCAGTACCGCAGTATGTCATTGTAGCTGA